TATTTTATCAACGCCTTCTCATATTTTCCTAAATCTTTGCAGTATTGTATAAACTGTTTCTTTAAATGAGGAGCGTAAAGGAGATGAAGGGATAGACATATGTCCACTGCTATCTAATTGGGTTTGGTCCTCATCCATTATTTATAGTACTATTGATCGCAAGGAAGACGAGCAACAGAAGCTAGTGAAGCATTTGCCAATTCTGTTTCTCAAGCAAAATGTTCCTTTCATATTTGTAGTACTAGATTTCAATATCAACATCCTTCCTATGTGTTATCTGATTCAGCATATCCTTGTATGCTTTTCATCACAGTACTGCCTGTCTAGCAAATCACATGTTTGTATAGTACTGTTGTTGTTTCTCTGTCAGTCTCCTTCCTTCTAGTTGAACAAGTACAATGTGTTTACCTCACTCGCATTTGTTTTGGTTTCCTTTCCCTTTGAAAACATGACTGTATGCATTAAATTAATACAACTGAATAGGAGCATTAGTAGAGGTTGTACATTACTAGCGTTTAATAGCTAATAATTGAGGCTTAATTGTGTATGATTGAGGTATAATTTAATTGTTGTATGCCTTTTACACCAGCACACAATATTTAAACAGGTCAATCTATTATATATTTGAATAGGTGACATTACCATATTGATTATACCTCATTACATTTTGCATAATGTTGACTAAGGTCTAAGTCATAAAAGCAACTTGGAGAAGGTTGTTGTGTATTCTTCAGTACCATTCTCTTAAGACAGTGTTCATACTAGATGCATTTATTTTAGGTGCTTGTCGTCCCCTCTTATCTCTGTGCATTGATGTGCTTCTTTTCCTTTTTAAGGTAACAAAGTACTTTTTCTAAGGCACCTCCATGTAGTGCAGTGATTTTTTAGAAAACGCATATGTTTTGTCTGTACTGAGATGTGTGCTCAATATACAAGTTTGTGTATATTGAACATGAATTAGCACATAGTCGGGTTGCCCAAAAAAACTTAATTCTGCAGAGAGATGAGCAAACTGATATTTGCTGGTCTCCCATTCTCTCTTAGCTGCCACCCCCTGTGCCAAGTCCCATGCCCACAGAAGAGCCTAGTATACATGGGTGGGAAGGAAGGGAGGGCCCACATTTGACAGCCTGTGGAAGTGATCTGTTGGCTTTACAAATGTGAACAGACTCCCAGCTGTTTACAGGGGCCTGTTGTCACCAATATATGGCATTTCTCAACAGCAGCGAAGGGTTTAAATCCTGACTCCAACTAACATCTTTTAGGCAGGTAAAGCGACCGTTTTTTTTTCTTTCTCCTTTTGGGCTAAAGGTTTTACATAAATTGATAAGTTGACCAGAGTAAGCACCCATCTGTGTAAAATTGTATTAAATTACAATGTATCTAAATTCAATTCGTAAAATCCCATATAAGCTGTTGCCTATTATTGTATTCCAAAAGTTGTCTCAGTATTTTTAAATCTGCAACTTTAATGATGATATCTGTGAACCTGCCATGAAGGTCCCAGTTCAGGTACTTTCTATAATATGGGGTGATACCGTAACTGTGTTCTTGCTTTGTCACTCTGTCGCATGAATCTCTGGTGGTGATTACAAGCTACTGTGCCTAAACGTGACATAGGCATTGTTGCCATTGCAATCATCACAAAGCCAGTCCAGAGCAGGGATATGCAGCCAAAGCTGAAGAGAGTACATATGTACGCAGGAAGTAGCTCAAAGGTTTTAGGAAATCAGCAACACTGAGATACAAAAATAAAGATTAAAAAAAGGTAAAAAAAAGTAGTATAAATTAGTCAATTAAAACTATTACTTAAGCAGCTTCAGGCTCCAGAATTTGGCTGCATTCTGATTTTAGGTCTGCTCCAGAAACCAGTCTTTACTACTGGAACTTATCTAAAACATGAAGATCTGCAATACAGTTCAAGGTTTTTGCCAACCCTACTAAAGTGTCATGGTTCATGAGGCCGTTCAATATTATTGTATATCAACTGCGCCCCATAGCTTTTGTGTATTATGAAATTTAAAAAATGTCTATCTTTTGTGGTTACTTGATTTGTAGGTACATTAGTCAGGCTATCACGCTACAGTGTAATTCTTTATTTCCAGCAAATAAATAGAAAGTTTGTTAATTAGTTGCCACCCATACCTGTGTTTGACAGGAACTAAAAAGAAGGCTTGTAGGTACTCTTTGCAAATTGAACACAAATGCATCACTGAGGTTTCTTCAGACTTGATTCATAAGGAATCAGATTAAATTACCATTGATGGTAGGAAATGACTGCTAACCAAAACACCCACTGCAGAACTGTGGAGGTCTAATTAAGTGCAATGCCAGTAAGCAGCCTGTACCCACAGCTGGGACTTGTAAAACATTGATCATGTAAGAGCAGGATCAATGTGCTCTCTTCACACAGGAATATCCATCTAAAACCACAGTAGTAATGAGTAAAAAAAAATTGTAATAAGCAGAAATCTCATTTGGGTTACAATGAATGGAATATAGTGCTTTGCATAAGTTTTCACTCATTGTAGTTTTCTACATTTTGTGGTATTAACCTAAAATTAAAATGGATTTTTGCATATAAAAAAAAACAATCTAGCGGTGTCCTGATTGGCCTTATTCATTCATTCTTTTTTTTTTTTGTAAACCCTTCCCACCAGCCATCTGTACTTTAACATTCCACGGCACAATGCCCCATTTTGTGGATGCGTTTCCAAAGCCTTCAATAGTAGAATTAGCACTTGTGCTTCAAGATGCTCGGCTGCAAGATTTGTTACAATGCTGTAACTGACAGCCCGACAATCAGGAAGTCATGTGGTCCCTATATCATAGTGGTCACGTGGAAATGTTTACAAGCAAGCTGGTGCCAGCTTGATGAACTATAAATGTGCCTATCACCGAGAGCTGCGTTTTGGCAGGCTCCAGCTCTTACGGTCTATTCACACTATTGCAGTACTTTAGCTAACGGAGAACGCGTGTTAACGTGCATTGTATTAAGGCAGCCCATTCAAATGGCTACACCAAAAATTACGCAAGTACCATTTCTTTTCAGACAGTTTTTATTGATTTTTACATTTTAATAAAACATGTACAACAACAACTAACAAAATAAAAACAAACATAAACCCGTACAGTTTAATCAAAACAGTGTTTGCCTCTTATTTTTGTGAAGCATGGGGATAGAAAAATACAAGTTACAAAACAGAGTAAAATCAGTGACATAAAATATGAATATTGAGGATCACTTGTTCCAAGGATTTTGCTTGTTTAGATATGTTCTCTAACAAACTATGGGGCCTTCCAAAAACAGGTGTTTGTTTAGAGATTATATGACCTATTGCATGCAAATGGGTTCCATTTAATTACATAGGTTTAAAAGAGACATGTCAGTTAACTAGTTCTCCTGAAAGCAGCAATTTGCAAAAAGAAGGGTTTTAGGGGGTTATACATCAGAAAGAGTGAAGACTTACCTGCACACCTACCAAAAACTGAAATATAACTTTTAAGTTCTGAAGCTGAATGTTAAGACTTGTAAATAGCAGGAAATGTGTAAACATTCAGTTTCTGCTTTTTATGATACTTGTGCCATTTTCCTGGTTAACTGGGAACAACTTCTTCATATTTGCTATTATCCCACAAATGGTTTCAGAGCAGTAATGGTTACAGGGTATTCAAAGAAGATACTTATCAAAACTGAAGCCAAATTTAAGATCAGAGTGGGGTTTTTTTTATGCATTTTGTTAGCAAATTATTTTTTATGCAAATAATTTTTTATTAAAGTGTACATGTGTTTTCCTTCGTAACACTTTTAATATCCACACACTGGAAAACAAGTAGAATCTCAATTACTCTCCACAGAGTGTGTGCACACTTAAAACTGTTCTTCAACTGACGCACCCTAAAGCTAACTTCCCTACTGGAGACTTCCAGTTGGGGAAGTTTCAGAAGTCGCTGGATATCGTTTAGTTAAACATACAGTAGATCATTGCCTCGGGAAGTGTGTCTCCTTTTTGTGAAGGGAACTTTCTCAAAATACACGCTTGCTGGTATGCATTAATTATTCATACAAGTCAAGTGAATGTGTGAAATGTCTCAGATTTACTGCACATTTGTCAGGTTATATGGATGTCCAGGAGGGCATGTAGTACCATTTTCAATGAAGTTATATGCTGGTGATCTACTTTATTTTTGACCATAAATGTTGCTTGACCTTGCAAATGTTAAGCTATATTGAACCACTAAATAATGGTGCTTACGTTTCTATAAATATGCCCTTGTAAGATAACAGAAAAAAAGGAAATGCATGTACAGTAGATAAAACAGTAAATTTTTTGGCACGTAGGTAGTCGATAGCAAACATGTAATTTTATGTTTGAATTTATATAGTGCAAGCATATTCCACAAAACTCTAGGCCCTGTTCAGACGTGCACTTGAAACTGCACATGGTTTCATTGCCATTTTAAGATGCTCTTTTACAGTCTTCATAGTATATTACAATGCTTATGCATCCATTTTGCTTTTTTTTTTTCCTGTTTCTTTTATTTTCTCGTGTGTTAAAATGTTTTGCAATGGTATAACTGCACTAAAATGCATTTAGCCTACTATATATTTTTACATTATGTCAAGGAAAAGGGTGGGGGACACAGAAGCACAAATTCCATGCAAAGAGTTGTGGTTTGAAACGGACCTAGGACTACAGCACAAGGGAACCAGTTTTGCCACTGCCTTGCGCCATATTAAGTAAAATTTTCTGGCTACTAATCCTGCTCACTAATCTACTAAACTTTTATGGAGCTTTAACCCATATATGCTTTTCTGCTGGGAATTTTTGTTTTGTTTTTAAGGGCACGGGTAGTAAAGCCATGTGTTTTGCTTTGCCAGATGTTTTATTTGTTAAGCTTGCAATTTGAAAATTATTAAATGCTTTCTTAATTTTGGCCATTTTTGGTCTTGCAATGTTTGAAAGCAGTTTGACATAACAATGTTGTTCTTCTTTGAGGCCTTACTACAAACTCATGATGTGGTAGCCCATGAAGTTTACAGTGACGACGCACTAAGAGTAACACCCCCTCCAACATCTCCCTACCTGAACGGAGATTCTCCAGAAAGTGCAAACGGTGACATGGATATGGAAAATGTTACTCGGGTGAGATTAGTTCAATTCCAGAAGAATACAGATGAACCTATGGTAAGTAGTTTGAATGTCAAACTTAAATCTGAACTCCAGGGTAAGCAATACATTATCTTATGTATCACCTTCTATGGTATAATGCTCCCTGTTCCTGAATTGCATAAGATTTGTGTGTTCCCATATATGGGCTGGGATGGACACTGTAGCAATTTTATATAGGGATGGTATACTTAAATCATTACAACTGCACACACAATTTGACCTCCATAATAAATTATTTTGCTACCTACAACTTCACCATACTCTGCAAGCGCAAGCAAAAATCAAACCCATACAGTTTGATCCCACTCCAGTGTCAGACACTGGTCCAGGCGACCAATACTAAAGGTTTTATTTTCCATTTATGTACACGACTACATGTTAAATATTTTTGTTTACTTTCCACAACAAAGAAAAACCATTCCTGAGGACCAATAGGAAAATTAATGTAGTCCATAAGTTAACTTTCACAGGCAAGCAGACTGTCACAGTTGTTCATCAATATTAGGACATAATGCACACCCCTATTCTTATTTAGTATTGGCTGCAAATAGACTCTAGGCTACCTGGACATGCCCACTGTAAACCAGCACGCTATGGATGCTGAAGGAAGGGCACTTTATGTTGCACAGAAGCGAGTTGCTAGGAAATGCATCTTCCTGTCCCCTCCTACATTAGCAGACTGGCTTCAAGAGATATGATAGGTACCTTGATTTTTTTTTTAATTGTCATATACTGATTGGGGTTGCTTACAGAAATTTCAAAAACTGTGACTTGAAATAGTTGATGACTTCCTGGGTGCTAGTCCCTCTCCCGCGACGATTCCTATTTGACTAGTCCACCTGTAAAAACCACTTCCTAAATGCCCTCTTCCTATGTGATGGAATATAGTGTGGAACATGAAGACTCGCAGATAACATACTTATGACTGTTCATTAAACTATAGTGTCGCTCTAGGTCGGTCCATTCTTGTTCGCACAGCTCATCACTGGTAATACTGTTGCCAAAAAAAGTGGATAGGGGCACACCAATATTTTCCAAAAGCAACTTCTTTATTATACCATAAAACGTGAATAGGCGCCTTGTAATAGAATCATTCAAGGTGCATGCAACATATTGGATGTTTCTGTTCATTTACTGTGTAATTGATTTTATGACTTAACAAGGAAGTCTGTTTTGCAATATATCTATGCGCTGCCATCCACCTTTTCTCCAACCATACTTTGAACTAGTGTTTATTGATTTCTGCTATACCAAATCCACAATAAAGGGCCTTAATAAGGACAATAGCATTTACATGTTCAAATGATGGTTGGTATGTTCTACATTGATAACCCCACTTTATAATGGTTCAAAGATTCTTCTCTTTTTGTTGCATGTTTAAAAAGACTCTCAACTCTAGGCAAACAGCTAAATACACAGACAAAATACATATATGATAGCTTTTCTTTACCTCCGGGGTACCCTCCTCTATCCTGTCAAGAGAAGAGTTTACTGCTGTTATGATGGAATTTATGGGGGAAATTTCTACACTCGTGAGTCCTCAGACTGCAGGGGGGCATAATCAGGCGCCCCTTCTTGCTCTACAGAGTCCCCCTCTGACCTTTCTTTGCCTATTTGTGTGCTTCCAGAGGAAGGAGATGATAAAGATGAAGGGCTGCTTCCAGTTCTGTGGATTTAGCCCAGAAAGAGGACTTATCTTCTGACATCTATTCTAAGCTTAGGGACACTATCTATGTCCTTGTGGACACGGTGCATGAATCTTTACTGTTAGCCACCTGCATCAACCTCGTCAAAGGTTACTAGTCTTAAAAAAGTACAAACCTACTAAAACTTTCTCTGTACATGCTCTTTTTTTTTTTTTTTTTTTTCTGTCAGTGACTGGGATAACCATAATAAACTGTTTCTGCTTGACTGTTTGTTCAGCAATACCCAATTGAAGAGGGTTTCCTTAAGAAGTGAGCTGTCCTCTTTTAGATCCAACTGTCTTTTGTTTAAACAAGAGGTTAACTGGCCCTGTAGAGAATGTTCCTGTGAACAAGGTTATAAGCCCAGTTTAAATCTTTAATTGCAGGCCCTGCTATGCAACCTGCTGTTGCCACCATGGCAGTGTGTCTCCTCTAAAAAAAAATTTGCAGCTCTTTGCTGTGGCCTTGATCTACGGTGTAGTTGGCCTGGTAGATACCCTTAGTCAAATCTCAAGGATTGGTCTCCTGTCTGTCCATATGTGACGGACCCTAAGGCTAAAATGCAGGTCTGCAGAGCTTCTCTGCAAGAAGCGTTTTAAACACATGCCCTTTACTGAGGAATGCCTGTTCGGTGAATCCTTTGATACTTCTATCAAGGAGTTTACGGGTCAAGAGCACCTTGTTATCTCAGAAGATGTCCAAGCCTCTGGAGGCTAAATCTTCTGCTCCCTCCTTCAGGATGGGTTCTTCATCCCTCTCAAGCCTCAGTATCCGAATCTAAGCTAGGCTTCCAATTTCCTGGTACTCCAAGCCTGCAAAATTTGAAAACAAACCCTCTTCATTATGAAGGGACATCCCCACTTTCTCAAGTGGGGGATGTCTGTGAGTCTTCCTGGGTCTAGAAAATCGTAACCAAGTGTTACAAATTGGAGTTTTGCTCCTTGCTGTCTCCTTGCTTTCTGCTGTCAATCTTGCCAAGAGTGCCCCAAAGTTGAACAGATCTTCTAGCTGCATTAGGTCAGCTCCTTTTCCAGGGGGCCATAGTCGATGTACCTGAGAAGGAACAGTTCCAAGGGTTTTTACGCTAACTTGTTCACTCACTGTCCACAAAGCAAGGGGGCATTCATAATCTCAAAACCCCTCAATGGGTTTGCCAGTCCAGAAATTCTGGCTGAAATCTACCCACTCTGTTATCACCTCCCTTTTCCAAATTTATACACCCCTATGTTTCCTGGTCATCAACACTACCTGCATTTTGCTGTAGGCATGCACCACGAGTAATTTATCATTCTTCCATTTGGGCGCTCCTCTGCTCACTGCATCTCTGGTATTCACCAAGGTACTGACCCCTGTTGGCTCTGCTTCATTGTCAGGAGATACCCATAGGCGGTTACCTGGAAGACCTTTGCTTCAGAAAACAGTTGGTGTAAGCCAACAGTCATTGAATGATGCAGACCCTGCAGAGCTTTGGATCAGTCCTTAATATTCAGTAGTTGTTGCTGGAGCCCCTCCCATTGCTTGGAGAACTTGGGCCTGGTCTTAAATACAGCCCTGTTCAGGGTCACCCTTCCCCAAGAAAAAAAACCTCTCCACTCTCATACTCAGACCTTACAGCCCAGGAGTCATCCAACTGTTTGATTTTTCATAAAGCTGCTGGGCTTTGTGGTGGCCTTCTTTGAGGCAGTTCTCTATTCTCAATTTTACTCCCAGGCTGTAACAGCTCAGCATTCTGGATGCATAGAACAAAAAGGCTCAGTACCTGGAAAGTCCAATTCGTTTGCCTAGTAAGACAACCCCAACCCAATTATCTGGATGGTACTCATGATGGATGCCAACTTATTAGGCTGGGGAGGAGTCCTGGGTGAGCCCTTGGTTCAAGTGATCTGGTCAGTGGAGGAATCTCATCTCCTGGTCAACATACTGGAGCATACGGCAATACATTGTTATCCCTGCAATACTGGATCCCCCAGTTAAGGGGGCACCTGACCAGGATTCAGTCAGACAACGCCACAGCCATTAGGAATACTCTAAAAGTTGCGCAGCTCTGTAAACCAGACCTGATCCTGGCTTGGGCAGATCTCCACATCCAAGTCCTGTCCACCCCACACATCCCTGGCAGGTGAACATCCTCAGTCACCATCATTTGCATGCTGGAGAAGAGTCCCTTGACCCAGAGGATTTTCCGGACGCGCGCTTCTCTTCATACTACTGCTTTTACTGCTGTAAATTTGCTAAGCACCATGATCCTCTGTATGTAAAATATAAAACCATCTATGGCATGTTGTGGGGCACAGGATAATGTATACAGTGCAGTAGCCTGGAGTATGTAACAAATATCATATTGTACGTGATGTGCAGCAGTCCACACAGACCAACTCATTTACAGTATACACAAAACCACTAATGGCACAAATAAATAGTTCTTACCCTTGTGGTCTTGCTTTCCTTAAAGCAAAAGACCCCTGTCACACTTGTAGTCTTGGCACTTAAGAGTCACCAGCAACAGGATCACGAACATGTGCAAGGAAAACACTTAGCTGCTTGTATATGTCGCTTCCTCACCAGCTGGATGAGTGAGGCATCGATCTCTTGTTGCTGAAATCACTGCATAGAGACACACATGACACACACATCGTTTATATACACATTGGATTTTCTTATTTTTTTCACATTATGTATTACAGTGGATATAAAGTCTACACACCCCTGTAAAAATGTCAGGTTTTTGAGATGTAAAAAAAAATCAAAAAGATAAATCACTTCAGAATTATTTTTTTTAAACCTTTTTTCTGTGCCCCTATAATCCGTGCAATTCAATTAGATCTGACTGAAATCTTCAAAGGGAGAACAATAAAAAAAATAACCTCACAATAATGTGGTTGAATAGATACATTTGCACACCCTTACACTAATACTTTGTTGAAGCACCTTTTGATTTTATGACCGCATTCAGTCTTTTGGGGTAGAAATCTATCAGCATGGCACACCTTGCTTTGGGAATCTTTGCCCACTCTTCCTTGAATCTTTTGTGAAGACCTGTGAACATTTATTATGCCTCCAAAGAAATGCCTTAAAGAACTGTAGCTGCTGGCTGAGCAGAGAAAGGGAAGGACAGAACTGACAGTGTACATACATTCCTTTTTCTCGGCAGAGCACATCTTTGTTGCAGGTACTTTCTTGGAAGGTATGATTAGTTTGTGTTCCATCCCTCCCTATGCTCAGCTTGCTGCTGCTGATCTTTTATGATGGCATTCCTTTGAGTCATTCTGTGATAAATCTCAGCACAAGATGGGTAGTTTTCCTCTTAGGAACTGCTTCGATTTCCAGTGCACTGCTGTCATCTGTGGGTTCACAATACCTCTCCCAGTCTTTTAGTTTCCTAGGCATCCTGAAAAGGTGTGAATGCTAAGCAGTAAAGCATGTCCTTTATGCTCTGTTATTGGCAGTGCTGAGAAGAAGCGTAATTGCTCATCATGGGTATTGGGGTAAAACGGCAGGACAGAGCTGGGGATTGACATTTATGATGGGAGCCTGAACAAATTACTGACATGTCCCCCTCTTGGCCAAGTGGGAACCCTAATTTGGAAATGTATTTGGCCATGGCAGTACCCGAGGGCCAAACCACCACCCTTATTACGCCACTGATTGGAATACAGATATTTCATCACTTAATAGATTATTTTGCACTCATGATACAATATGTATGTAATGTGCACTTTATATATTGCTGCTTGTGACTATAAAGGCATTTACTAGATCTGGATCTTTTTTTCTTTGGAGGGAATTCCCTGTCAAGGATTCTGCCTTTCAAAGTGATAAACAAAATTATTCCTTATATAAAACATAAGGGATTTGGTTCCATTAATTTGTTGATAAAAAGTGCTTTAGTTATTGAAGATATTTTGCGTCTTGTTGACCACTTTTTGAGACCAATACATGGGTTTTGTTTATACTTTCCCTTCCCAGATCCTCTGACATCTTTAATGTGCAGCCTGCTGGGAGCTGCACAGCTACCACTTCAAAAGTCTCTTAGCTGGGCTCTTCCCCAGATGCACACTGCAGTCTTTATTCCTATGCTAAAGCTGTCAATTTACACATCTACAGTGGACAGCCTCTTCATAGGAAGGAATAGATATTGTACCGTGAATGCGCAGAAGAGCCCAAAAGGGGTCATTTTTTAAACGGTAGCTGTGTGACTCCCAGCAGGATGCTAATTGAAGGTCTCATAGGAGCAGGGACAGGCAAGTATAATGTTTAGGGAGAGTGTGGGGGGAAGTGGGTTTCTTTTGGTTCAATATGATTTTATTAAAAGTGTTTCAACTTTCAATACAAATTACAGTAGACATGTTTACATAGGAAATATCCACATAAACAAAACAATAACAGACAAAAAAAGGGGGATATAGAAGCGGAGAAGGTTACACTCCTCGGGGTACAGCTTTTAACAATAGTAACATATCCCTTGACAGACTCAAACTCCGGACTGGATCTATGGTCCTATAGGTAGAAACAAGCAGTGGGTAGGCACATGGGGTAAGAGGCAATCATGGTATATGGTAATTCTACTATCATAAAGTGGTATACATATTTCCCTGCCTTACAGCTCTAGGGGTACTATTGTAGGACCACATATGTATTCGCCTATCATTTTGAGAGTCCGGGAACAAGGCCAGGGGACATTAAGACATTGGATTCGGGTACAAGCTGAAGCACCAACTAACCAGGTGAGAACCCCCAGCGGGAGAAGAGAGAGCAGAGAAACAGCACGACGAGGTGAGTAAATTAGTCATAGAAGGAACATGAAAAAGAACAGGAGAGAGATTAAAGAAAGAGAAGAGGAGGGAGAGGATGGTAAGGGCGAAGAGAATAAGTCAAAGGGGCATCCGTACAGTGTCATGTATTCCTTCCACCTCAGCACGCCAGGGAATTAGATGGAAACAGCCTCTGTAAAGGCATCTGATGCCCTGAATGTGATCCAGGCCGACCAGACATGTACATAGCCAGGGCCATTGTTTCGCTCCTCTGCCAGGAGGCCCTCCAGGTCTGCTATGCGGTCCATCTCCACAGCCCACTCAACCAGTGTGGGTACCACCTGTGTTCGCCAGTGTCGTGGAATGACCGACCTAGCAGCTGTGAGAAAGTGTCGCAGGAGGCCTCGCTTTGTCGCTTTCAGAGAGCCAGGAAGCATCTAGAGCAGCAGTATCTTATGGTCATTATCTATTGCAGTACCCGTCACCTTGAGGTAGACCCTCAGAATCCCCTGCCAGAACTCCTGAAGCAGAGGACAACTCCACCAAATGTGGGTCATATGACCTAGAGACTCCCTACAGCGTCAACATTTATATTCGAGGTAGCCGGGTAGATTCGGTGGAGAACCTCCGGGCACCTGTACCATCTGGTTAGGATTTTCAAGTTTTTCTCTTGGGCTTTACTGGCAATTGAGAGGGAGTGCGTGAGAACAAACGATCGCTCCCATTCCGCCACGGAAGCCCCCAGCTCTCGTTCCCACGCCTTCGTGTAGGCTGGAAGAGTGGGAGAGGCTGCAGCCAATAGGATGGAGTAGATGAGGGATACCGAGTGTGTCGGGGCGTAGTGGCCAGCAGTAAAGAGTCAAAAGCTGTGGGGTATGCAGAGAAACAGTGCGCCGCGGGGAAGGATGCGACAAAGGAGCGAAATTTGCCCCTCTGCCAGCCAAGTTCCCCGGATCAGACCAGGACACATAACCGAGCCCGTGTGTTGGGTCTTCAGGGCAGAGGCCAGGAGCCGGTGGGTGGTTCTATCCCAGCGGCCCAGTGTGGTCACAAAGTGGGTTTCTTTTAAAGGAACACTATTAACGGACAGTTATCCCTTCAGTTAATGTCTGTGTATGGGCTTGTTTTCAATGGGTGAATTTCAATGCTTTCCCAGTGTAAAATCTGACCATATCCTCTACAGATATTGCATTCCATATGCAGATGACTAGACAATATGTCATGATTATTAAAACAGATTAGACCCTACTGGTAAACCAAGCCTGTGTGAATGAGATCTAGCAATAGACCTCTTATGAATATATTAACAGCCTGATATGCCAGTTGCTTTTTTTGTAATGTATATCTTGTAGCTAGAGCTTATATTTGAATGTAAGGACTACATGGGCAGTTTTAATATAGTTCGAGATTTAAAGAAGAACTCCAGGAATATAAAAAGTTAACCTTTGCAGTGGAGCTAACCCCGCTGAAAGGGTAAACTGCTTCTTTTTCCTCTAGGGGCCAGCATTCAGAAGATATACTCGCCTGGCTTTCGGTCCTGTGGCAGTGAGCACTCACCCTCTCCCTTTTCTCCAGTTGTGCCATGTCCCTTGGCGTCCTCACCATATAATGCAGGTGAATGGACTGCATTAGAGATGATGACGTCAGCGGGGCCTAGACCGCAGGAGCTCGGGGAAGAAGAGGGTGTGGGGACTGAGGATCAGGTGAGGTATATTTTTTTTATTTGAGCCCCTAGACCAAAACAAGCAGTTAACCTTGCAGTGAAGTGGTAGGCCCACCACAAGGGTTAACTTTTTACATTCATGGAGTTCCTCTTTAATGCCAAATTTCAGGCAAACCACTCAAAACAGTGACAAATACATATATACGAGCTATTTTACCTGCCAAAGGATTTGCATCTCTGTCCATCCAGTCCTATCTCTTACCATTCCCTATCTCTGCCCATCTCTTCCCCACAGCACAGTCTTATGAAGCAGAGGAAGGAAACTAAGCTTTCTCTGCTGCAATTTCACCCTGTGACTGGACAGTAGAAGGAGAAGAAGCACACTGATGAGCTTATTCCTGTTTCACTCTGAGCTCTCCTGTTGTTAGGATGCTTCTTGTGTTGCAGGGTCATTGTGCTGCTTTTCCTTTCTGAGCTCTGCTGTACACACTGTACAGTAGACTGCAAGAGACTGATGCCAAGTCAAATTGAGTTGTTTACCTAGCTCGCACGTAATAAAAAAAAAAAATTGGTAATCATGTTTATATACTTTTATATCTGCCTGGAGTTAAGCTTTAAAACTCTCTTCTGGGCCATAACGTTCTTTGTAAAACAATGAAATAATATATGTCAATACTAATATGCTTCAAATGTGTTGACTACCAGCAAGCTACAAGCAACAAGGTTAAGTTGCTCAGTAGCGTGACGTTGAAAATTCTAATTTAGCATATCGCTAGTAGCAATTTTTCAATGATATACGAGTTGTAAATAGATTTGGGGATCCTTATATTAAAATAGATATTTTATTTTTTTTGTAGTATGACAGATTTGTAAAAAAATTTTTAAACTTGTTTTCAATAGGGTATAACGCTAAAGATGAATGAGCTGAACCATTGTATTGTTGCAAGAATTATGCATGGAGGAATGATTCACAGACAAGGTACTGTACCACACTTACAGATCTTATAATTTTGTAACTGCCTAAGCTGTCATGCTTTTCACAGTATTTCAAACTCTGTCATACCTCAGTGAGCTTTTACTGTGAGGTTATGAATGAGTGCTGCTTGAATGATGGCTGAGCAGAGAACACTGAGAATCCCTGCTAATCAGCCCAGCCTTCAAACTCATTTGTAGTCAGCCCCATTGTTATGACTCTACTGTTCACACTTTAGAGCTGGTATTTGTGAAATTAGTGTAAAATTAATACATTTTCACTCAAACAACCGCTGAGAGCCTTGGCACTTTAATTTTATCAAGCAGAGGCATGAAATTGTGCATGAACATTGTTTAATAATACAATTCAAGCTCTGTAATGTAAACAGAGAGTTTTGATTATTTTAAATAATTTATAGGCTTCTGGACCTAAATTGCTGTTTTCATCTTTGTTAAATGGAAAATGTCAACATTAGAATTTCAAATGTCATGTCTGCCATTTGCATATTAGTATTATCATTTCAAGTGTCTTATTAAAGGAAACCTGTACACGGGGGGGAAATAACGGCTGCTATTGCTAACCACTTCAGAAAATGCTGGTTGCCTGGCTTTCTCTGGCTTTGCTGCTTTGAGTCAGCTGGAACAAGCAAGACACATAAATCAGGCCAGAATGGGAGCTCCTAATGTGCATATGTTGTGCTGGGTCTATAACTTGGAAAGTACTGAGGCCAGTGGGTCACAATGACAGACTAGGGACTGGTATTTTCAAAGCAGTGGAAGCCTCTGTACTTACTACCAATTAACATTAGGATGAAAATGTATCTACCTTCACAGACATTATACCATTGACCCAGCACGTGGCATTCTGCTACCTGTGACCTGTGTGGCAGGAGCCCATTGCTTGCTTTTATTTAAATTTCAGATTTATATGACCTCTATATATTTAACTATATAGAGCATGTAGAACTATTCATATCAGTCCCTGACCCCATAGTTTTACTTTACTTAGCACAGTCATGTAAACATAAACACTATAGGGTCAGTTTTAACATTTTTAGAAATTAAATCACTGGCATATAGTATTTTCAGAGGAAAGGGTTTACAGTATCTGCCATACATGCACGCACATTTTATTTTTCGTTGACCTGGGTACAATAGAGGTCCTGTAAATAGTTATTTCTTCTGTGTAAACAAATCTCACGAGTTAGGTAAGAGATTGCAAAAATTAAAGCCTGAAATAATATTGCACTTCAGATGTGTTATGGTTTCGCTTGGTATGATAACAGGATTTTCTATTCAGCTTCTCTATAATGTGTTTTGTAACCGCTTAAAGACCTCTTCAACCATGCCTCTCTGTTTTGAAATAAATCGAATCCAGAAGGAAATCTCTTGAAGTTAAGGTGTCTGATCATCAAAGGAAGTTGTCCTGATGAAAATAGCTCTTAAAATGTGACTTCATATAGTCAACTGCAACATCACCAAAAATGTAAATGCTACGTTTAAAGTTTAAATGCAAGCAAACCATGAAGCACACTGTTGAATTATATTAATGGTTTTACTTGACAAAGTTTTTGTAAGTTCTTGTTCACACCGAATGCGGTGCGTTCCAGAGCCGTAGTTGCTGGAACGCACCACAATTGCTCACGAAACTTCCCCCTGCGTTCTGGTGGCGTGTCGGTGCATTGAATTCAATGGCACCTCTTCCACAACCCTCCCCTCTGTTCCACTGCAAACGCAAAAAGTAGAGAAAGCCCTAATTGATTCTCGGATCCAGATAGTTAGCCAAGTTGGTGACCCCACTTTTATCCGCAATTGAGCAGTAAACCTTAGTCATTAACCTGTTCCCAGCTTGTGACTGGATAGTGTGGGAATATGGTTGCTTTTGGCAACGACTCATTTTGTTTTGCAAGGTTTTCTTTCATTTGCTTTGCTTTAACAGATTGTATCCAGTCTGTGAATAACAATTGTAGCAAGTTATTTTTGTTTGCAGTCCAGAAATGGTGGTGCTAAGAGGTATAGATTTTCTAGGTCTTGTGATGTTAGAGATGTCTTGGACTAACCTGTTGTTTTATTTCACAGGTACCCTCCATGTAGGTGATGAGATACGGGAAATCAATGGAATTAGTGTAGCAAACCAGACAGTGGAACAGCTTCAGAAAATGCTGGTCAGTTGATTTAAATTATGTCCTAGAAGTAGCAGTTGGAGTGACAATGCGTTCTGCCATGAGGCAGCTGTCTCCGTCAGATTTTGCTTGGTTCAATAATAACACACACACATTTTGAAGCTTTTAAAAAAAACTAAAATCTTTTACTGCCATCCGCTGAGATAACAGCCCACCACATTAGGTATAAAGCTGGTATTCCCATAGCAAAAGGGCCCCAACTAAAAATCCGTCTCTACATGGGCCCCTATTAACATACCAGCTTAGATTTGATGGATGCTGGTCTCATTTGTACCTACCATAACAAAAGAAGGTGAACTCACAGGGTGACCTGTTCACCACCATGCCTGTGAAAACTCCATTCCTTACTCTCATAAGGACTATGTTCACACCATGTCTGGACCAGATCTGTAGCAGATTTTCAAACCCAGTGCAGTGCATTTTTTTTTGTGCCTAAAATGGGCTTTTAAGCTGCAGTCCAGTGCGTTTACATGGGTATTGGTGTGTTCCAGACCAGAGAAATTGAGACTAGCAGTATTTTTTTTGTCTGGACCGGAACGGACTGCGCTGGTGTGAACAGAGCCCAGAAATACCATAGGGATACATTGGAATGCTTTTTTGGTCGGGGAAAAAACTGTTCTGGTCTAGATACAGTCCGGACATGATGTGAGCAAGCTCTTAAAGAATATAGAGGGAAGCTGCAGCTTTTGTCAATTCAAAATGTGCCACGCAAATCCTCCCTGCATTTTTTTGATCTTTGATTTGAGCTTCTTGTACCAGATTAACGAATCTCATAGAAAATAACTATAGTAACTGTGACATGGAATTGTGAGGTATTCCCTCATTCCTGGTCAATAAAAAAAGAAAACTTCCAAGGGGTGAATAATTTTTATAGCCACAGTAAGAATCCATAGTGGTTATGGGGCGTGGTTTGGGCATACCCAAGACCCAACTTAGAGCTGAGTTGGGATTAGTATACAGTTGTTGCCTCAGGTTTGTTGTTCAAATGGCTTGCTGATTTCCAATTTTAACAAGTCTACGGGACTTTGGGACAACGTTGTGCCTATTATCGCAATAAAATTTAGTCTTAACATGAGTTTATAGTGAAATGGAGATTTACAGGGGTATTAGTTAATATCTTTAAACCAGGTTCATAGCTAAAGAACAACTCCATGCAGTTAAAAACGTTACCCATGCAATGGGGCTACCCTCGCACTGCAAGGGTTAAGTGCTTGTTTTGCTCTTGGGTGTAAGATAAAAAAGATATATGCACCCAAACTTCGGCCCTGTGACAGTGACCGCCAGCTCCCTTCTCCTCTCTGGCTGTGGTATGTCCCTCGGCATCTTTACATATAATACTAGTCAATGGACTTGTATTACACGTGATGTCGTCTGCTGGGATTAGACCGCCAAAGCCCGGGGAGAGGCGGCTGCGATGACCAGTCTAGCAGCCAAGGAGAACCATGGTTCGGATGAGTATATTTTTTTTTTTTTTATTATTATTATTTTACACCCTAGAACTAAACGAGCACTAAACTTTTGCATTGTGGTTGTAGCTCCACTGCAAAGGTTACGTTTCTAAGTTCTTCTTTAAGCAATGCACCGTAATCTTCTGCTGCAATGGTATATTCCTTGAAGTAGTGATAGCCATTTCCTGTAAGCGATTAGAACACAGAATGGTTAAAACTGTACAGGTAAATGATTACAAATTCACATGTTTATTTTGGTATCGGATGTGTATCTTTAGCTTATCATGAATATTTTTCGAGGTCTTTTTCTTTTCCATTTTCAGAGAGAAATGCGGGGTAGCATCACTTTCAAGATTGTTCCTAGTTACCGCACTCAGTCTTCATCCTGTGAGGTAATAACTTCATACATTAGGCCGTCTTTTCTTCTTGTATCTTGGTGCTAATCACTTGCTAATGGCTGACTTTTTTTTTCTGCTTCTTGGGAAGTTGTTTCTGCCTGTGCTAGTAGATCATGCACACCAATTTTACAACAAAGATAACGGAACCACGATGTCTCACTCCCTTACAACATTTTTAGTAAGAATATATTTTGTTATACTGTAGCACCATTTCGTAATAGATTAATAAACCATGAAATCGTATGTGAACGGCATTTTAAGAGTGGTGGTATGATTTTAGTTTAATCTTTGCAAATGCAGACTGGGAAGAATAGATTACTTTACCCTTATTTAATAAGGGCAAAGGCAGCAATCGATCAGATTTTAGCTTTCACTACAGTAAACTGAAATCTTTTGGTTGCTATTGGTGTCTGCTGTTTGCTCATTAAATAAGCCCAGGGGTGTTAGATTCATAAATGGTACTGTTTAAAACAAAAGCTGCAGAGTAGTATTTGATTTTTTGTCTATGCCATTTACCTTTTTAGAAACTACCTGTGAGCTTTATTTTCCCAGGGACTGGATTTCAGCCTTCTCCGGATGTTTGTTAGATTGTCTTACACAAGCCTCTATAATATGGTTGTGTGATCAGTCTAATGTACCATTAATTTTGTAAGGCACATCAATATTGATGAAGGCTGTTCACTCACTTGGAGCCTCCGTGTCCTAAATGGTGGCTGGTGAAGTTTAGCAGCATAATTGTTGGCTGAGTCTATAAAATAGCTGCCTCCATTAAAAATGTGTATCCAGCACAACATATTCTAATGTACGCAGCATATTACTTGTGGTTGTGTTTATCAAAAATTAGAAAAAAAGTTTTGGGTCTGTACTAGAGATAATATCCCACCTGCGTTTTATAACTGTTGTGGACCATGGTGACCAGATCTCAGCACTCTAGTTCTCATATCTGCCCACTTATTGTGTGCCATTACAGAGAGTCCCACCTTTGGCGACAGGATCTCAGCACCTGCGATCCCAGATCTTCTCTTTTATTGTGGCCATTGAAGGGGCTCTCAATCTTACCGCTAAACTTTATCTCTCTTTGTAGCAAATGCACCAGGAGAAGTGAGACTTTCTTTGCTTAATAATGCCTGTAGAAGTTTTTGCTAAATTTGGGCTTTCATAATTTAAAGAAATAGATTTGAATTTTAAATTATGTTTTAGAACTAATAAGTTAAACTTGAGGAATGCCGTTTAGTTTTTATTCACTGATAAAGTATTCATTTTGCATTTATTGGGCGGTGATGTGGGCAGTCACTGTGTGAAATTTTGCTCACCTGTGCAGCCCTTAAAGTACAGATGTTTGTCTAGGCATCTGAGGATTTCAAGTTGAAATCAGTGGAGACAGCAGCTCTGTCTAAAAGAGAAGAGTTTGAAACGGGTCACAGGAGGCTCTTGACTGCTCTGAATCTTTCTACTTGTGCTGCAGAACCTAGAGAATCATTGACCCAGCATCTAGTGTACTGTGTATTTAGAGAAAATGTGCTGCTCCTTGGTCTCATTCTGAATTCGGCAAGAGATGGCCCCTAACTAACTTCCTTCCCTGGAATTATTGAGCGGCTGACTTGCTGAAGTTGATCATGTTTACATAGCACAGATTGTCATTTTGCAGCCCTTCTCTGAACTGTTGCACTGGAGGTGCACCACTTTTCACCAAAGTACACCACACATTATGGCACTGCTCTATAAATACTTGAGCAAAGAAGTCTAGAGAAAAGCAGAGTAGCTTCCCATAGCGGTCAGGTTCCATTTTTCTTTGTACAGTGAATGAAAGATGAAACCTGGTTGGTGACTATGGACAATGCTTAATTTTTCTACATGTTTCATTGTTCTAAGTGATGTGTAAAATTCTACTTACTGTACATTTTAGCCATCAGGTGACTGATTCTCTACAAACTGTTACACAGAAGTTGAAGTCATCACCCTCCTGACAACCTGGCTGCTCATTATGGTCCTCTGGTTAATTTGGCAATTCATAATAAATTGGTATATGGCATAGTGTGTATTTAAATCTCTGGAAGCATTTATTTTGTCATGCCATGTCATCATTACTTACAAATGGTTGTTAGGCATAGTATAGACAGATGCATGTTTTATTTCCTAAGGATTCATTTTGGTTGCCAGGTAAAATGGATGTGTTGCAATACATCTGTATCATTTTCTCTAAATCTCTGTGAGAAACCGATGCATTTTCAGCTGTACTGCTGAGTGGTAAATGGAACCTGGAGTGTGCTGCTGTCTGGACCATGAGCCCCACTAGGTGGAGATTCTGGGAACTGCAGTTACTACTGCTTACTTTTTACTACAATACACCAAACATTGTAGAGATTCTTCTTATTGTTGTTGCCTTGGTGATTGTACACTATTGTGACAGTGAAATGTGTTAATATAACTTGTGTCTTATTTCAGAGAGATTCCCCCTCTACATCCAGACAGTCCCCAGCTAATGGTCATAGCAGCATTAACAATTCTGTTTCGGTAAGATCAGCAATTGCATATACTCACAAAAAAGGGTGAAAGGGTGAACTACCAGTTTTGTATCAGCATCTGTGTTCTTAAATTCACGGATAAGCATTACCATTCTAACATAGCTAAAATTTCGTTTGAGGATTTCTTTTCTTTTATATATTAATATATTTTTATTTAGTTTTGACATTCAGTTTATTAGTACATTTTCTTTTTTATGATTTTTTTTTATTTAAAATGTTTTATAGTTTTTTACAAAAACATTTACCCTTGATTTTCACACCACCCACAGTCAATGGAGGCAGCCATTTCATTCGCTGACGATATTGCAAATAATGCACAAAAGTCAGCACTTCTTTTGTAATTAGCATTCCCAGGAGGTGTGCTCTCTACAGCTTGGGTCAGCTTCTAATACTCACTACATTGCGCGAAAAGAGAAAGCAACAGCATCAGTAGAATCCTGCTCCTAGCGATTCAGACAGCCACTCTGTCATCCTTTTTTTTTTAATCATGTAAATGCCATTGCTTTCCTTCTTGCGTTATGCATTACAGATGTAATTATTTCCTAGTGGATTGATAGGCTGTTTAATAAGCCTACAAAAAAGGCTGTTATCACTATGTGCACATGATGAATCCACTTAAAAACAAAATCTGGACATCTGTATGTATCCAGAAATGTAGTTTCCGCTATCTGAGTTAATGAATTGGTGTGCCCTCTGCTGTTGTGTTACTTGCACATATTCTGCAAATCATAAGCCTGGCCTGTTATGTTAAGCTCTCCTTACTCCCTTCTGTGCTACTGGGGCTTATATAAAAGAAAAAAAGTTCAGTAGCTGCTGTAACTGCTCTTCAAATCTTTCTCTGAAACATCTTTAACACAAATTGCTTGCTATATGATGCACTTAAAGCTGCTTTTGCAGACACAGCTCTTTCAGTAAAATTGCAGATATATTGAAATTGAATTTATCTATTGTTAACTGCAGATACGTATGTTGAATGTTTTGGCTTAAAGAAGTCGTAAACATTGTCAGAAGAGCACAATGTTAAAAATAATTTCATGAATCTTTATGGAGCCGCACATCTCAAGATATTTAATGATATATTCTTAGCAGTATGTTTTCTAGACACTTCATCAATTAGGCTCTTGAGGAAAGCTTGAGAGAGATGTAAGCTGTTCTAGCTTACCTTCAAGACACTTCCTAGAAAATCATGTACTGCATGTTTTTTGTAACAATAATCATGCTATAGGTTGTTAGGTAAATGTTATGAACATGCATTTTGTTTTATAATTACACTAATATAGATATGAATGTCCTAGGTGTAATAGTATGATGTGCACAGTTGAGCAGACTATTGATGCAGCTTACAGTTCAGTCTGCATACACGCTCGCAGTCCTATACATGTATCTTTAGTCTCACACTTTCCATTATTTTGCTGATGCATTTGTGTTGAAGATGGCGATAGTTACGTTTTCTTTTGATTTATAATGCATCATTTGTGTGCTTTAAACGTTTTCTGCTTTTTTAAGCTTCAGCTAAAATTCTTGAGCTTGGTTTTGGTTTTTTTTAAAACAACTCCATGTTTATTGGTTACAATTCTATCCTAAAAACTACTTGTGATGTATGACGACAACAAATATTGCTAATCAGTAAGATGAAAATATATCTTCTTCTGGGTTGACTTTATTCTGCAGGACATACCGTCAACTACCCAGACAAAAGGACGACAGGTGAATAGAATTTCTTTATATAATCTGTTGCTGTTAGTTTATTAGTAAATCCCATTTTCTTGTTTTAATAATAATCCATCCTAGTATTCCTCTGTCATCGATCTCATTTTACACATTCATATCATACGCTAACACAATTTTCTCTTTTTCACAAATGCCCTTGTGACCCTTAGGCAGCTTATCAGGAGTCACTATTTGGGAAACTTACTTTTTATATATAT